GCTGAATACTCTGAGTTGGAGACACAGTCAATGGCTTGTAAAAAAAAACATTGCCTTTAAGGGTGGTAATTGATAACGATACCCTGGGAAGAGATATTCGTAACCCCCTTCGTCGAAATACTCGACTCTGGTGAAACGCCTCAAAATTTAGTGCAGAGAAGCAGCTGCCTTCCCACGTGGAACTGACAAACTGGCACCTGCGAAACCGGATCGTCCAGCGCTAATTGGCATTGGGAGTTGGGACGCCGTCACATAGCAGTGTCAGTTACGTAGCAAACAAAGTCGCGCATCATTCCACCAAATCTCATGGGAACTGCGTCATTCTTTGTGGTAGCCATTGTTCATTTTTCTCAAGATAATTTCTGAGAAGGCCTTTCTCGCTTTCCATCCGGTAGCCCCTCCCTTCAGTTTTTGAACAATTCCAAATTTTAAGATTGTTCACAGTGATCAGTTCATAGGGAAAGGAGGCAGCGGCGCCGCCACTTCACGAATGATCTGGGGCGGTATTCAATCCTTCCCTCAGGGGATATATCCCCCTCCTCTGATTCAATCCTCTGGGGGGGGGCAAAAAAGGGTTGCGTCATAGGACCTAGCATAGCTCTGTGTTTCTTTTTTCTTTCTGTGTTTCTACCTGCCAGACAGTTAGAGCAGCGCGCGAACCCTCAGGGAAAAGAAGTGCTTCATCAGTGGAGGGTAGTAGCGCGCTCTGCTCTGTCTGGCAGGTAGAAACACAGAGGTATGCTAGGTCCTATGACGCAACCCTTTTTTTGTCCCCACCAGAGGGCAGGGGGGATATCCCCTGGGGGAGGGATTAATACCGCCCCTGGGGATTGATTTTGCGCCTACGGGGTAGCTGTTTGTACAGTGAAATACTGAGAAATTGAAAACATTGACTTGTCGAATAAATCCGTTAGTTCACGTATTGCCCAAATACGCATCCAACTCCTTCTACGATACCGAATAGGTGTCGAGTTCGTGGTGCTATCCAATCAAACACCAATGGCACCAACAAAAAAGGTGTGTGATCGTAGGCATAAACGCTGTTCACTGAAAATACCCTTTCTTGTGAAGCAAGCTCCAGAACATTTCTACACACCTCCTAAAAAATGAAGACTGGGGTCGTATGCTATCCTTCTCCTCAGGCAATGAAACAAGAATCCCTTTAAAGTTTTCGTTGTCATCCCAAGCAAATTTGCCCCAAGTAAGGGGATATTGTAATTTATGTGTACAGTGAAGGTAAGCTAAAAACCTGGCTTGACAAAAACAAATATATTTAAAGTATCTTTTCGTTCCCGTAGCCTGGGGAAAAGTTAGCATGCGGCCCCTGATGTCCACCGCACTCACAAACCTGTGTGGAGAAAGCTGAGGTCCTATCCTCATTATGTTCAGGCTCTTTGTATATTACCATTTCCAATATTAACTAATCAGAACTTGCCGTGCGAGGAAAAATTGCTCTGCAGTATCCACCCAGGTTGCATTTCGTCCTTTTGAAAGTCGCAGCTTCTGCGCAATACTCTACGCTAGAGGTGAGGCATGGAGAGTATGCTCCGCATCATCCAAGCTGACGCCAGCTAAAGCGTGAACGTGCATTGCACAATTTTCAGAGGCTCAAGCGCCTGAATTTTTGTTTATCACTCCAATGGACACATTCGTCTTGATTTCATAAAGTTGAAACTGGAAGGACGACGGAACTCACTCTGTTGGCCTAGAGAACAAGGCACACGGCTGGGCCAATCTTGCGCCGCTCCAACTCCGAAAATTTCACGACCCCCCCTTTCCTCTTCAGGTGGCGACACGACTAAAAGCAGAAACTTCTTTCCTACATCATTCACAATGGCACTTACAGTAGCGGTCAAAAGTGTTCGCCGAAACGGTTTTTCGTGCTTCCTTTTTTGCCAGAAAAAAATCAATGGTGGCCTCGAAATTTTTTTTGAACATCCTGATTCTTTAAGACTTGAGGATATAAAAACACTAGAAAACATAGTATATCAATCTTTGGAGGGCGTTGCTCAAGCGAGAAAAAATAATGCACTAAAATCGTTTACTTTTGACCGCTACCGTATCAATGTCATATTTTTTGAATGAAAATAAGTCACCAATTTTTCACCATGAAAATCAAATGAGTAGTGGCAAGGACAGTCTTCGAAGACGTGCAGCGTTTTTTTTTTCAAAACGGTATTTTTGCATGCTTGGAACAGACAGCTGGTTAACTTTTTGAACGGCCCTCAGAAGGCTAAAATATTGTAGGAATACACTACACAATGCTGTAAATGCTTAAAATCTATTGAAATTGCAAAAATTGTGCGTCTAATTGGAACTTTTCACAACTTGTTGGGCGTTTCTAGCGCCGTTCGGGAAAAATAAAAGTAATTTTCATGTTCCATGTACGTGAACCACAATATGAAAAAAGCGTTTCGAGCCGCTCATGTTTAGGTGGGGGCGGGAAGGGGACATTGTAGCGCGCAGCACCGAGCATTCAGAACCATTTTCATATCTATTTTATATCTACATAGTTCCTTTCTTGCACTGATTAATTGGTCCACTCACCCCAGAGGTTTCTCCCCGTGCAAAAAATTGGTTCACAGCTGCAGCGGCGGACTATTGCGCCGCGATATCCCCTCTTTAGCTGAGCCTGTGTCTCTTATCTTATCGTTGTTTTGAACGAGTTTAGCGGATATTAGCACAGGTTGAAGCTATCGGGTTTCCTTATCTTACCGGTAGGCCATCAATGGGCGCCGACCGCCTTTCTGCGCAGAATTCCTTTGTGTCGTGTTTGTTATTGATAAGGCCTCATTTGTCCGAAACGCCTTATATGACGTCTAAATTCTTCTTCATAACTGACATCAAACTAGTTGGCCATTGATTGTCAATTACCCTCGAGCATGTATTTTTTTTTCAAGCAATGACTACCTATATGACTGCAAATCAATATCCGTGAACATGGTAACGTAGCTGTCCACCACCAGGAACGCTTTACTCCCAAAGACCTAAAGGTACGGGCACGCGTTTTGCTCTCTATAAACAAGAAGTGTAAGTTGTTAGTAACTCCACGTACTGGAGCGAAAGTGGTGCAGTGGTAAGTGGGGTAGCCAATACACTCATGATCCCAGGATCTGATCCCGTATGCTCCCCCACTTTCTTCACGATTTGGGGCGCGGCCGCGGCGAGCGCGGACGAGTCGATAGTGCCCGCGAACTGTGGTGGTGGAGCGTTTTCAAATTTACCCGCACAGTTCGCGGGCACTATCGACCAAATCGTGAAGAAAGTAGGGAGGCGATTCCGAATGGTAGCCAATAGTGGAAAAATGAGCCGCTCATCTCAGAACAACGTTTGGGTCTCATCCAGTAAGGGGGGCATCAAGTGGCTGCCCTCACCCCCCACCCCCTAGACTGCCTACACTCCCCCTGGCGCACAGGTTTCTCGAAGTACGGGACCCCGTGAGCCAGGGGGAGTGAAGGCAGTCTAGGGGGTGGGGGGTGAGGGCAGCCACTTGACGTTGCATCACAATGCCCCCCCCCTTACTGGATGAGAACGTTTATCAACATGAGGTGCTTTATGAGGATTCTTCGTGATAGAAAGGGCATTTATTCATGGTTTTAATAATCGCTTTAAGTTTTGTTTTACAAAACTACTTCGTATTTTCTAAGCATTGATGGCAAGCGCTCATTCTGAATAGTGAACCAATGTTCTCGAAAGTGTCCACACTGTCTTAATTTTATTGTTAAAACATTGGAACGACATAAACCACGGGACGATAACGTGCTCCAATTCCAAATCGGAGGCGCGCGTTCGGTCCACGTTTCCGCGACTAAAATGTTGTAGTGCGTGGATCACAAGATTCGTGCAAGTTCCTCTTCATATTTGACCAGTAGATTTTATATAGTTATCCCTTCTTTACATTTTTGTTGGGGCATGTCGAACATGTTCTTTTTCTTGTTTATTTGGCCGAATTGGTTTCGGAACTATTTCTTTTTCTGCTTCAGGTAACAGTAAGCAGAGACCTTTCTGAAGCCTGCCTTTTCATATGAAAAGCATTGCATTAACTTCTGCCATGAGCTTTCTCTCGTTTCTTCCCTCGTTATACGTTTTACGTCCGTGGTGTTTACTCGCCGCTAAACATACACGGAAAGTTGGCGTGGCGGACAAGTTTTTTTCAACGTATTGCTCTCATTGGTGCGAATTTCGGCAAACAACTCAAGTGGATTCAAGATTAGGAAACGTTCGGTCAATTTCAGCATCTAGTTCCTTAATTGGATCATTTCGAATAGTTCTTCGAATGGGAATAACCGTACTAACCTTACGGCGTGTTTTTCTTCTTTTGCTGAACCTGCTTTACATTATATTTTTACTATAGTTGATTAATATTTTGTGTGAACAATGCGAACACGTGTTCTGTAGATATGAAACCGTTCACACAAGTGGAACCCTTTTTCTTCCAGTTTCATTCAATCGGTAACACTGGCGCATCGGCGTGCGCGTGGCACTACTTGGGTTTTAAACTCGAACTAGCGTAAAACCCTCCATAGATACTGTTCTCTTTTCAGTTCCTCTGTCTTTTTATTATTACATCTTTATTTTCAAGGTAGAAAGCATTAAGTAAGCGTCAGCTGTTAGCCCTTGAGAACGAAAACTATTCTGATTAGTTTTATTGAAAGTTATTTTGTGCTTTTAATTCCGTATCGCGTTTAATGATCGCATGCAGAAACTTACCAAGAACCCGCTCTAATTCGGCACTTGTGTTCTTTTTTTTTACAATGAATCGGCAATTAATCTTATTCATGATTTCCACTGTATGCTTCAAATCCTCTATGAATACGTGATGGTAATGTAGTTCTTATTATCGTAATCTTGTGGTTATTGAACGAAATCGAACTTATCGTTAATATTATCCGATCCTGTTTCAGGTCTTATGCATATGGAATATTTCCACTAACTAGACTGTAGCATTTCTCTGGATGCGATCCAGTTGTATTTCTTGATGTATAATCTTTAACTGTGCCATGATGCTGTCTTTCAACGCCCGGTTTTTGTTACTATCGTTGGCATTGTCTGCATGTTGGGCGGAGCTCAACAAAACAGAATTGAGGTATGTTTTTTTCATTGTGATTTGGTCGAAGAATTAGGCTTGTGATGTGGAACTATCATAGTGGAACACTTTTCTTTACACTCTCGCGTATTATTTTTATCTCAGCGGTTCAGGGTTGAAGTAAGAGGGCGGTCATGCTTTGCGACAGTCTGACAATCCATGTGTGGAGAGAGAGGTATCAATCGTGCGATCGCATGGCCGATCTAACTCCGCACTCGATCTCTAAGCGAATTGCAGACAGTCGCAAAGTATGACCGCACCCTAACGCTTGGCTTTTTTTTGTGTATTTGCTCACGCGTTTCCGTAAGGCTTAAAGTTTATGTGTTCCATTATATTATTTTTGCATCGAGAGGGGGGTACATACTACTTACATTGTTAATGCCCCCCCCTCTTTCTTCACGATTTGAGGTGCGGCAGCGGCCGAGTTGATAGTGTCCGCGAACTGCGCATATGGACTGTTTTTAAACCTACCCTACCTACCATAATTTATGAAGGATAGCAAACCGGTGAAGTATCCGGCATTGGTCAATCCTTTTTGGTACGCCTCACCCGATCTTATAGCATACCCATTTAGAGTAAAAGTGTATTTTGAGACGATGTAGCCTGCAAAGGCGGTCAGCCGTGATAAAAGTCAATGTTTGTATCCTTCCCAGTTGAAAAGGTTACCAGTTAGTTGCCACGGATCTTTGATTGGCCCAACAGCACTTTTCACACAATTTGATTTCTGGATCCCCACTCCCTTAGCATGGGATGCCCTTTCATCGCTTATTTCGTTCTGGAAAGAAAAATTAGAGAAATTCTTCATTCAACGCCTGGCATTCTCTGTTTCATGCGGCGAGACTTGTCGTAATTGCAGACCTAGTAACACAGTTGGTGTCATTATATTTTTTTCAAGTAGCATGCTTGTGAGGCTGCACTGAGGACAGGTTTTTTCGCGAAAAAGAAGTGTATGTGAATGCCATCAGGTATTCTGAGTAGGTATAGGTGTAAAGGGTTGTGCTACTTTGGTTGTTATGTCATGTTAAATGTCTCAGAGACCGTGCCTATGAGATGTTCATGCATGGCTATCAATCCTACATGACATATGCCTATCCAGCAGACGAACTTATGCCGTTATCCTGTCGAGGACGAGTACGAGGAGTAACTCCAAGTAGAGGAGACGTTGATGACTCTCTTGGAAAGTAAGCCTTTTGCCCATTGGAGAATTTTTCAATCATCATATTTTATCTTTGGTGAAACATAGTGTTTTGGACCCCAATTTGATGCGGTTCTTCGCTGTACGGCAGCTCTTTAGCTTGAAAACGAAATAAATAAGAGTATACATATTGAATGTGCACCACACTTGAAGGGCCATCAACGCTTTTGTTTTAGCTTTTCTTTGACGCTAATCGACACTCTGGACACGTTAGTAGTTGTCGGTGCTTTGGATGAATTTGAGAGGGCTGTGAAATTGATTGTCGACAATGTGCGCTTTGACTCCGATCTCATTGTTTCTGTATTCGAAACCAACATTCGTATTCTTGGAGGCTTACTTTCCGGTATGTTGCTTATTTTCTTCACCGAATTCGAGTTTTTTTTTGTTTCACCGACACTGCTTTTCTTTTCATACTGTAGTGTAGGCGCAATCTTTTTATAATTGTTGGTCCTATGTGAGCCGGATAGGTACGCCGATTTTTGATGTTACTTACCGCCAATGATATCCTATCCATCACCGAGTTCCTATTTTCATTATGGCTAAGCCTAGAAATAGAGAAACTTTTCGGGGTGGGAATGCAGTATAGTTTCCCTAAGTTCTTCTACTTGGAATGGGCATGCACACCTAACTCACATAGCACCAATTGTTTCATTATCGCCTATCACTTGCTGATACAAGTACATCTCTCAACGGTAACATGTACTATATGATTACTCACTGCTACTGCAGGACACTTAATGGCCGAATTAATTCGTGGTAAAGATCCCTCGCGCCTGCAATGGTACGATAATGGACAGTTGTTAAAAATGGCCATAGACATTGGTGATCGTCTGTTACCTGCCTTCAATACGTCGTCGGGTCTTCCTTACAGTAGGGTATGCATTTCCAGTGTTTCTTTATAGTTCCAGAACATCCTCTTATTTCGTACCCTATATATCTGGGAGTTAAGATAAACCTTCGCCATGGTATGTTGGATCATCTCAAACGTCAGAAAGATACGTGTACTGCTTGTGGAGGAACGATGCTGCTGGAAATGGCAGCACTTTCGAGACTCACTGGCAACGGCATATATGAAGAAAAGGCACGAACGAACTCATTGATTTTTTTGTTATGAAGTGTTTATTTTTCAACTTTTCAGGCCAGAAAGGCTATGGATTTTCTATGGGGCCAACGACATCGTGCATCGGATTTGATGGGAACTGTTTTGAATGTTCATTCTGGCGATTGGGTTCGGAGAGGTACAGTGTTCACAAAAAATTTCATTTCATCCCTCGAATTTTGTTAGTAAATTCTTAGACGCTTTTGGATAATTTGTCTGGTCTCATTACGGGCTCAGGCTTCCTGTTATTCAGACTGTTTCAAGCTTGTGGTCTTACTTTTCTATCTTAAGCTTTCTATGTGTTGTGAGTATGTCAACGGCACATTGTTTTAATTTAGAGAGCGGCATTGGCGCTGGAATCGACTCTTACTACGAGTACTGTCTCAAGGCATACATTCTTCTAGGTGACAAAAGCTTTTTGGAGCGTTTTGAGAGGGTATGTTCCTACATGTGGTCCTTATTTCAATAACGTCGATCCAGAAATCATTATATAAATTTTTCAAGCATTATGAGGCTGTGATGAGATATGTGAACAAAGGACCTTTATTCGTTGACGTGCATATGCACAGACCTACTGTAGCAACACGCTCATTCATGGATGCTTTACTAGCGTTTTGGCCTGCTCTCCAGGTTTGCTATTTTTTTCATTTCTGCATGGACACATAACTTGATTCAGATTTTTTTTCATTTTCATCGGTTATAATTTTTTTATTCGAATTACAAGCATGTATCTTTCGAAATCTAGTCACTTTTGCAATCCTTTGAAGAGAATGGCAAGTGATGACTAGTGTACGAAGGCGAAGCTAGCAGTTTGTCACGCAGAAGGCCAAATAAACTGCCAATCTTCTTTCATTTCACACGCGTAGCTGCAGTTACTGCGAACTGGCTGGCATGAAAGCTTGTACTTTTATCTGCATAAAAGTAATATGAAGGGGTTTAAAATAAGGAGTTTTTTCCCAGATTTGTACTTAGTGTAAAGTGTTTCGTGTGTGAGCTGGTCTTACCTGAAACCGTTACAACTGTGCCCGCTTTAGTTGTTTTTTTTTCTTACTGTTTTTTGATGATGCGGAAAGACAACTGCCTCATTTGAGGTGCATCATCTAAAGAGAGGTGTAAATGTTTGCGAATAGTTCTCTCCACCGTACATTTTTTGCGAGGGTCAGGTAGAAGAGGTAGCTTATTGGAGCCAGGCTCTGCCGGATGACCGCTCTAGCCACGGGTTGTCTATGTTGAACCGCAGCTGGCGCCCATAACCGCGAAACGCGCCACATTCCGTTCAGAGAGCTACCTTCGCTTAGTAGTAGAACACCCAATTTACGTGCCATCTGCCTTAAAAACGCAGTTATACTTGACGAAGCAGATACTTTCGACGATTAAGAGTTTATTTAAAACTCCCGAGAGATGAGTACTCACCTGCTATGTTCACTTCAGTAATAATGGTGACTTTTTTGTCGGTTTCAAGTACCAGTTTTGGGATAACCTCAATCAAAGGAGACATGTCATGAACATAGAATATTCGTTCTGTGTAATGAAAGTTTTTTTGTTATAGTAATGTTTAAAACATTGCTTTGAAAAGACGAGTTGTTTTTTAGTTCTACTCAGATCAGAAGAAACTATCGCGCAGTGATTTTTCCGTCTTTTCAGGTTTTGAAAGGAGACGTTAAGCGAGCCATTGAAATGCATGAAATGCTTTTCCAAGTGGTTCAGGTCAGTGTAATTCTGTTTGGTGTTTTTCCAGCTAACAGTATTACTTCCTTTGCAGAAACATAAGTTTTTACCTGAAGCGTTCACTCATGACTTCCAAGTGCATTGGGCTGAGCACCCTATCCGTCCGGAGTTCATAGAGAGCACATATTTCCTTTATCGTGCAACGAAAGATCCTCATTACTTGGAAGTGGCGAAGCAGGTTAGTTTTCACATGAATATATTTGAATTGAAGTCGAGCATTTTCTATTAAGAAGCTTTCATTACTATTACTTGTTCATATTTTTAATTTGATTTCTTTAGGTTATGGATAGCATTAATGACTACGTACGGGTTCCTTGCGGCTTTGCCGGCGTGAAAGATGTCCGAACAATGTCGCACGAAGATAGGTGAGCGTAGTTCTTGGTGCTAGCGTGTCCGTGCCCGCTTTGCGTGCCCGTGCCCGCTTTGCTACTGCAGTTGGAGCTCTGCTAATGCTTTTGTACTACGTGAAAGCATTGGCAAGTCTCATCAGAAGCAAGTAATTTAACAACCGTCTTCCAGAATGGATTCATTCGTACTTTCGGAAACTTTCAAGTACTTGTACATGATTTTTGCCGAGCCTTCGGAGCTTATCTTTGATCCGGACAATTACGTTCTCACAACTGAAGCGCATTTTCTCCCTTTGAATATTGGCAATGAACAGAGCGAGGTGAGCTATGATGCTATCCAGTAGCTGTTGTTACAAATGGAGATTACTCTGATTTATAAGAGTTGCTTGATTTAGGTTCCTCGGCGCATGCTCATTCACCCGGATGACATATCGCTGTCGTCCAAAGAGTTTTATGTGTACGCTAATCCACCCGGTGCCAACCAATATCCCACAGAAGCCGGGGAAGCGCTGAGGATACGTGAACGAACTCAGGGTGTTCTCGAAGAGTTGTTCGATATGCAGCGGCAACAGCAATCTTCTCAACAACCGCTACAGTGTGTCAAGCCGTTAGTTTTTGATTTTCGAAGGCGATTTTAACAAATTTAGCGCGCATCTCGTTGAACGAACAGGTTGGTCTGTGGAAGGGAATTCTTGAACGTATTATTAACAGATTTGCGCCGTTTACTCCAAGAAGATCGGCGAGCTCCTGTCAGGGCGGCCTCGAAGAGAATTAGCATGTTGATAGGGAAGCTATAGCAGCACGTAATGGTGTGGCCAATGGCGTGCACGGCCCGTTACGGACGAAAGGCTTCAGTCATCTAGACATTGCTCACAATCAATTCCATCGAAATGAAGTAATGGGGAATCCGCAGAAGTATTGGGTGTGGATGTATTATAGTAATGACGTTTGTTGCGATTGAGCCTGTAGTATATAGTTACTAAAGCGTAGTAGGCGGCCTGCGTGCAACTGTTTTTATAATTTGGACGAATCTTTCATTCCGGACGAAAAGCTTGGCGGTACTGGGAATATGATGAGGAATTTGACCATGATATCATTCACTTGATAAGCGGAGCAACTGGTCACCTTGCCTCCTCTTCAATGACGTTCCCTTACAAAACACAGTGTTTTGAAAAGAATACATTTTAAGGTCAGAACGTCTGCGGGCGTGGGCATTTTCTGCAAGCAATGCCGAACATATCAAACAATTACGACAAATGGGCATTGACGTACAAGTGCACGAGGACGGGCGCATGCATTTGAGTCACCAAACGACTGATGTAAGTTTTTTTTTCGCATTCAAAAGTAGTAGGCACATTAGGTGTAGTGGGCTCACTGAGACCGTTGCGCCCTCGCAGTGGTGCCCCTCCTGTTGGAGGGTAAACCATTGCATATGGAACCGCAAAATGGTGTTAGGGATCACACAGACGCTTGGCTTGTACTTGGCCTCCAATTGCTCGAAAATCTATCTTTCGTTTTGCTTCGGTTCATAATCACTCTTAGCATCATTGTGTTAGTCGTGTTAGTGTTGTCACTATTTTTTATCTCACTGGGTGGCAACACGGAAGACAGATGGGTTTGTACAAGCAGTTGGCGCATGACCAGTGTCGATCTGGTGATGACGCTTTTGCTGTTTGATAGCATCAGTGGATCAAAGTCGAGAGCATTTCAAGTTGTTGTTAGCGCTGCTTGTGCCATCTCCGACCGTCTTTCGTGTTGCAGGGTGGAGTGGTGACGTGTGAAATTGACGGGAACGGCACGCCATCTACCATAACGTCGTTTGCGGTCCGAGTCTCTGGTGCGAGTGTTGCGCTTGGTCAGATGATCAGCCTACTCATGTTGATTCTGGTTGTTTGGCTCATACTCTTAAGTGTCGCTGCTTTCATTATTTGCTCAGCTGCCGTGCTATTCAAGTCTTTAGGTGCTAAGACTAAGCTCGAATAGACCTCATTAAATCGGACAAAGTACGTATTGTCTGTCTTAAAGCTAGTCTCGTGTAGATTCCTCCTAGAGATATCCCAGTGATCATTTTTTAAAATTTTTCATGTGGTTTTATCATGATTCTCTCTTTTGCTACCGTTTTGACATATCTGTCTTCTATTGGGTCGTCGATTATTTGGGTATATCTGTGATATAACTCTAAATTGTAATATCATCATTTGATTCATATTCACGTCAGCACAGATCAGCTCGGCAGGAAAATGCATAATGTTGAAGTTTGAGTTCCAGATAAATATGTGCATCAAATGTGTTCTGAAGGACTTTTCCTAAGGATTAACTTATTATTCCTAAGATTTATGACCTCAACAAAATTAAATCGGTATTTCTAGGCGGTTAGTCCTCAAATGGCGAAGTGTGGCATCGATTTTATGCAAGAGATGCTGCAGCTCACGTCACAAAGGGAAAATGAAAGTGGTAATTACTCTTTATAATTCTTTTTTGTACTGTGTGATCTAAAAGAATAAGTTGTGGTAGTATTTTCAGAGATTCGAGGTTTCCGCTATGTGCAAATTCTGTCTTCGCCGTACTTCGGCTATCCAGTGTTCCGTGCGGCTCCCGCTCAGTATGGAGCGGATTTGGAAAGTTCACCGGTAAGTTATAGTTTTTTTTGAAGTAGATCTTTGATTTGTCTGTCTTTCATTCGCAAACTAAATATTTTCTTAACACAAATACCAAATCTTCCATGCTTCCATAAGAAATGTACGTTTTTAATTTTTGGCATTTTTGGTATCTGAATGAAAACTCCTATATCACTCCTTTATTGCGCTGCTTCCGTACGTTTAAGCGACCAGAGAATCGCGTTTGTATTGAACATCAAATTGAGTTACGTCATGAAGAATTGTTTAAGAGCGTGCAGTTCATTTTGAAAAAAATTCAAACGCTGTGCGTCAGTATTGTGGTTTTATTTTGCTGAGAAATAGCTCACTGAAACGAGTGTATTGCAATTGGCGTGAGCCTAAAATGAAACCCTGTACTTTAAAAATTACCCTTTATGTCATTCTTTGGATACGAGGGGTGCTTGATAATTTCGGGCCAAGGTGTTCCTAATAAAGTTGTCCTTCAAGGGGTTCAAATCGGTGTAGAACAAAGTTTTTTTTATGCTCCAATCTTCATGCCTCAACCGAAATTTCAAATCACAGGCTGAGGGTGAAGTTGCTATCGCGGAGCCCTTACGAGCATGCTCTCCTCTGACAAACAAAGACCAAATTCGTGGACGGATCGCTTTAGTGGAACGATCCGATTGCATGTTCCAAGAGAAGTCACGACAAGCTCAACAAGCTGGGGCGATCGGTGTTATTGTTATTGGTGAGTTTGTATTTGTAATATCGTCCTGTATCTAATCTTAAAGAATATGAAACATGCAAGATCTTTCTTTTTGATTGAGTTTCTCTGTTGCAGTTGGTTCTATGGAGGCACATTTTCAGATCACATCATTGGGACCTCGTCGGCGAATGAACCATCTTTTGCTATGGCAGAGGATAAGGACTCGCCAGACGACATAGCTATACCGTCGTTATTCGTCTACTACAAAGAAGGGCAGCAATTACTGAAGGCTGCTAGAAGTGGAAGCAAAGTCGTGGTGCGACTCTCCAGTACTCCTCTACTACCAAGTATGCCATTTTTTGAGTTTTTGTGAAGTTTCAATTCATGAGATTATTTTTACGCATAATGTTTGCTATTTCGTTTCAAATTGTCAGAGATTGGTTTTGGTTGTGAACGCTAGATGAATGAAAAGTGTTTTTTTTTTGCGAAAATATTCCTAAATATCTATTTGAACAGACTGCGGCTGTTTCGGCAGTCCAAAAAGATCGAACTCGGGATTGGCTGTAAGCAGCACCTGCATTTTTGTGGACAGAGTTTCGTAAAGGGGACAGTGTGCGCAAACAGAGCGCTATCCATGTAACAGCGTATGCTCATTGGTTTTATTCTCTGAGGGACTGACTTTTGTTTTCGAGTGATTTGCGTTTAATAATTTCGCGAAAGGTTGTTAAACATTATCGCGTAGTTAGAGTATGCGTGAAAGGTGAGATTTGTTATCTTAAAGTATTGTTAAGGCCAGGAATGTGCGTACGTTTATCAGGCGTCCGGCAGTAAAAGTAATGTTGAAGGGGTGTTTTTATAAGGTGCAATATCCCATCTTCTTGCCTGGCCTTGTTTAAGGGTCGAAAGTGATGCGTCAATTATATTTATTTACATTCAATGATACTTCACCTTCTATAATTGACGGTTTCAGATTCATTGGTGGAGCAGTTCTTGATGTCTGGAATGCTTCCTTCTGTAGAAGATAACATGGTGATTTTGCACATTTCTCTTCTTATTTTTTTTATTTTTCGTCTACAAGTACTTTACTTCCCATCGCTTTTGGGTCATCCTCAATTATGCTTTTATTTCTTAACTGACCATCGCAGTACATCACTATCTCTCAAATGTAATAGCGTGAAGCGAAATGGGATGGGGATTTCGCTGATTAGTTTCTTCCTATGTGTGCTATATGTTAGGTTCCAGTTCGCTTCCGATGTTTGAATGTGGGTTAGGCCAAATGCAGTGACGGGGCCGACCCTGGTATGGGGTCTGAACATGAGTTTCTGCAGTTCATACAGAAACGGAATTTTGTCAGCAAGAAATAAAAGAAGTGTGAACAATATTAATAGAAGTGTTGTCCGAGCAGTAGTGTTAGGAGTAAAGTATATCAAATCTGGGTCTAAATAGTCTAACATTGTCAGAATACTAGAAGTGGTTGCTTGTCGTTGCTGTAGTAGAATTCTTCTCGTGAATGAACCAAGTTAATTTTTGCTTTTGGCCTCTCGCAACGTTTAAGGCGAAGTAAAATGCGCTGCTTCCAGATGTGTTTGATTTCTGAAGGCGACTTCATCCAGATTGACAACGAGGTTCCGAGTGTCATATTCAAATTTCGCTTCGAGTCTGTCACTCAAGAAAGTGAGCCGCATGTCCACCAAGAGGTAGTAGCTTTGTCGAAGGATGTATCCGTTTCATGTGCGCGATTTTCTATTGCATTTCGTCTTCAGATTGTTGAGAGACATGTCACAAATCTTCAAGATGCGGTTGGTTTCAACCGTCCTGGTCAGAGGGCTGCTTTTTTCAACCTGATGCGGACGGCAGCTTACGGTGCTCTCGGTCTAAACGTACAGGTTAGATTCTTTGTTTGCTAGCTTTCAGAAGAATTTCGATAGAAATCATCGATTAACTATCTTGGGTTATCTGCATTATTTTTGAATGAATCAAGAAGCCTGTTGACAAGTAGCTGCCCCGTCCGACGGGTTGAGATATTGAGTGAAGAACACCTGAAATCTGTCTGAAGAATAAAATAAAGAGGATTAATGGGCAAATTGTTTCGGTTGTTACAGTGGTGCTCTTCAAATTTGCGCTACAAGTAGCCGTTAGAGTACGCCATGTGTTGTGCACTCCTTGTTGGGCGGGGGTCATGTTTGGCTTTCTAAGGATTGGCCGGTTACTTTGAAAGTTCCCCCAGTGGCATGGCATACTTTGCATCGAGAAGGGTTTCAGAACATCTGAGTCCGTCTCACGCTACAGTTAATGTTTTCAGGATGAAAATTTGAAGACCGTAGAGCAGGCGTTACGTGATGCATATCTATTACATTTGCCACCAACAATACATGAAAATTTACGAGGTGATATCACTCAGGTCAGTTTGCTAGTCATTTTTCTTCTTAAAAATATTCATGGTTCGAATTGAAGATCGGGACTCCACTTTACGCCATGGTTGCGAAAATTTGATCGTGGTTGTAGCATTTCATTCGATGAGAAATTAGCAATGAGTTGATCAATAGGATGCGAAGCCACCGTTAATGACAATTATTTGTGAAATGCGGCAAGGAAGCTTTGATACCTTCTTCCAGGATACACAATTCTTGAACACTACTGGGATTTTTGGGTATTGCATATCTGGGCCATCTAGTAACTTCGGGTCACTCTAGCTATTAACGCTTTCAGCCAGATCTGACAGAATTCCTGTGGAAAGTTGTAAGACTTGGCAGGCTTCGAATTGAGTAAACCTATGAATCACGGTGGAGCTGTGCACCCATCGTTATTACTAGGATTTTTTAAAACAGTTTTTGCATGTCAACCTTAAAACTGATTTTACGATTGTTCAGGTCCGATGTCTTCCACGTGCCGAAAAGGTTCAATGCGTGCGGATAGCTGCATGAACTGTAGAAATGAATGCCCCGGTTGACTTCTCGATCCTTTATAATGACGTTTCTATATTTATTCTCTTTTCGAATGCCATTTCTACTTGCGGGTTTTAGGTTTGAAGTCACTGTGTCTATGAGTTCTTTCTAGAAGTTAACCTTTCAAAAACTGTGAGTTCTATTTCCCTTCCTCTCTAGAGTTCTCTTTCATCGTTCTTTCCTTCTTATTCTTCTGTAATATGCTGTAAAAATTCGAGCTTCCAAAGTGATAGCGAAACGACCGTGATCGCTTGTGCTTCTCCTGAATGTTTTACAAACCTCACAATCGACTCTAAGCTTTTCATCCGCGTTTAGTTTGTCTTACTAGTGCCCGTATATGCGTTTAGCTGGTGTTGAATTGTGCCGAGCTCCAGCACTGGGGTTGTTTGTTTTATCGTGAAAGTTTTAACTTATATGATAAATTTTTGGAGTGAAACTGTTGTTTTTTTTTGACGACAGGGAATTATTGGTCAGGAGACAAAGGAAGACGTAGAATTTAAAGTGGGACAGTAGAGTATAAATCCCCAAAGGCGGGAATCAATATTTTCACCCTTTCGAATAAGGTGATATTTTTTGATTGAGCACGGGATAGAAGAGGGCACTGCCAGTTCTAAGAAAGTTCCATGTTCATAAGTAGGGTCAAAGCGTAGGATGGAGTAAAGGGAGGGCAAGAAACGATGTAGATATACACCAGAAATAGCGCTTAGAACGAGAGGAAGATCTACTATATAATGGAGGGATTCTTGAGAAATTTCGAAAAATTAATGGAATTTTGGAATTTGTCCTGTTTACACTACACTGTATTTTTCACTTTTCTACCTTCTGGGAATGTCAGTTAATCATTTTTAGGTAATATGGAAGAGGATAAATAGGGGGAGGGGGTAGAACCTGGAGACCCTGTTGCGCTGTGAGGGGGACCCTGCGCATTTTCGTATGAGGTCCTGGGGTTGGTGTAGCTTCCCTCAACACGTGTCTCTCACTCTGCAACTCATCGCTCAAGCCAAAACTCGAGCATTTAAATGCTCAGTCTGATTGCAAATGATGGTAGTGCATTGATCCATTGCTTACTGTAGCTTTTCGCTTGGTGTCTATGGTCTGTGAAATTTTTCTCTGGGAGCGTTCTTAAGAGGAATATTGGGTCTGAGCGAGCAAGATTTCCAAGGAAGGTCTGGCACAGGGTCAACCTTCACGGTGGGGTGTTATGTTGGAATTGGTTCATAGAAGATTGATTTTTAAAATTTTGCCTCTCCTTCATGGTTGGGTCCCCTTCAACGATCGATGGTGTCCACAGTGTCACTGGACCTGGATTACCTGGACCGTTCCCAAGTCCACCTGTTTGATTCTCCAATCCCTCCTGCCTTAATTTACACTTTCAGACCCATTCAGTCTGCAAAGGCAGAGTAAGCACGCCACCAGCGCGTCCAGCGCGCTGTGGAGACGAGGGTGCCAAGAGTACGCCGTGAATGCGGTGCTGAGGGAAGTTGAAACTTCGAACACCTTCCAACTGTAGAAGATTAGAGACGCTGTCTTTGCCAAATAACGGAAGATGAGGTGAGCCGAACACGTCCTGCGATTATGCGATGTACCAGTATGTACTTGGACTAGCGCTGTTCCAAACTTTATCCCGTCGGATATCAAGCGAGGGTGACCTCTGGCACGGTGGTCGAATTTCCTTGTAAAGGAGTAGAATGTTTCGGCCCTAGGGAAGGAGGCATGCTTTGGAACGAACTGGAACGTCGGTGGTGTTTGTTCAGTTCAGTAACTCTGAGCAAGGGCGCGACGTGGTGATGCTTATTGTATTTAAATGGGATTATTATAAGATAAAGTGAAACGAGTGACGAGTGAAATAAATGGCACAATGTGACAAAGGGGTAAGGCAATGAAGCGTGTCACAAGTAGTTCATAACTGTGTGAAAAAAAACTGAATAAAGTAAAAAAAAAGAAAAAAAAACATTGGGCATGATGTGTATGAACTGTGGTTAGATCTATTGCCCCAAACATATTCTTCGGTCATTCTGCTACCGCTGTTCTGTTTTTTTTTTCCTAAAATTTCAGGAAGAAGAAAAATGTGCAGCAGACGTGGACGTTCCACATGCAGGCCAATAATCTTATTCTTAGCTAGCCGTACACTTACACTTCCCTTCAAAAAGCCAGAAAGTCGGGTGCAGACCATACACCACAAGTGACGACGGCCTCCACAAAATGCAAATGTTTTCTGCCAATGAAATGATTAGCCTGTTGCAGTTGTATTCTATCAGTTGTCACTAATTACAACTATCATTTACCAGAAATCAGCTATCACTATGAACCACTACTAACCAGATTTACTTGGAGGCCGTCGTCAGTTGTGGTGTTTGGTCTGCACCCGACACTTTTGGCTTTTTAAAGGGAGGGTTACTTATAAGTTTTGAAAGCTATACTGACCAGTTTGCAGCAGGAATTAATGCCAAATAAATCCATACGAAATTGTGGTGCACCACTGCACCATACGCTAACTAAGGGGTGGGTGATTCCGGTGGACCAGGTGCAGGGCGTGGTATACACTGTGTTCAAGAACTGATCAACAACGAGCATTACTGAGAACAACTATAACGCTTAGGGATTGTCGGAAGAAAGCCATCCTTGTTCCTTGCCCACTTATTATAGAGATGCTGTGATAAATAGATTAAAAAACAACCTTGCAGTGTCCGATTTGATCGGTTTATTATGGGATGGAGTTGACTGACATAACCAAAACAATAAAACGGATCCCGTTAGAAGATCCTCAACCAGTTACAGTTCTCATAATTTGTTCCGTGTTGCTTGTTTGATGCTATCTGGAAACCGGGGTGGACCCCTATTAAGACGTCAGAAAACTGTCCGGGCCGATTCATTCTAGTGATCGCCATCTTACGACCACGCTGAATACGTCCGCACATTTTTATTACCACTTGAAAATCCCATCTTATTTCAGCCTCTTTTTCTGACCTGTTATTTACTGCTTTAAAGTTATTCTTGAACGTGTGTGGCATAGCATCTAAAGCAAAATGTCATAAAATACTTTTCATGGGAGGTTATTACTTGTTAGTCTAATGCTTGTGATACATTCCAGGTTTAGTTCAATCTATTATTAACCCTAAGCCACAAAACGCTTCTGCATCGCAGTCCTATGTAAAAACTTTACGTTGAAATTTCTTGCGCAACAACTTCTATTACTAAAGTACACAGAGTGAACAGCATACATCGGAGATGCCCTACACAAGCTCTTTAATCTCTTCTGAATCGGACATTGCTGAATTTTCAAGAGATGAACTTCGAGAGTAAACCTCAATGGAAGTGATACTCAGGCGATGCGAGAATATTTGGACCACTCGAGCCCTGCTGGCACACTCCGTTTGACAACCGCCTCCAGCCACATTCGAGGTCAACAGTTTTCAACTAGTGGGGCCGTGTTGAAGTTTTCCGGAGAGGAGTTATATTGGTGGAAGTCGAAAGGTTAGAAAGAGGAGGCTGTATTTTTGAGGTCCAACAACCATAATGGTGAGAGCGGTGGTCGGGGATGGGGAAGGGGGTCATATTCCCTAAGGCTGGTGGGGAGGGTGTAAGGAGGGGGTCGTAAAATTCTTGGAATTGAAATAACGGACGGTTGACATGGTTACAGGCATCTCAGTTTTGTCCCATGAAGACGCGTAAATATCGTGAAAGCTGCGTCTTCTACTTGTGATGTTTGTTCAGCTTTGAGCGGTGCAACTGTACACAGCTGTTGAAGTCATGTTAACGACGGTATTTCCGCCAATGTACTTGACTAAGGGCGATGTCGTAGTTCGAATCGAGCGATTCGCTGGATCCGAGCGTTGCGCCAGCGAATCGAACTTTGCGCCAGCGAATCGACCGATGCACCAGCGAGTCGAACGATGTACCAGCGACTCGACACTGTTTGAAAGTGGCGGGACCCAACGTTTAAAGGAAGTCCACTTCAAAGGACCACACTGTTTGAAAGTGGCGGGCCTTCCTTTAAACGTTGGGTCCCGCCACTTTCAAACAGTGTTGAGTCGCTGGTACATAGTTCGACTCGCTGGTGCATCGGTCGATTCGCTGGCGAATCGCTCGCTCGATTCGCAAACTATGACATCGGCCTAACAAAAGTCCCAGTTTCGAAAAGACGATCGTGGGAAACGACTCCTTTCCAGTTTCTTCCCATGTAACGTCGAGGACTGTAGGGTCCTGAATATTGCCACTGACGCTCACAAAAAACAGCACTTCAACTGTGTACCGTTCTCCGGCTGTACACGCATAACTGGACTCATCGTCAACCACCTTTCGGTATATGAAAGGCGTGGTTGGAGCTTTCAGTGGGAAATATTGTTGGGGAAATAGTCATACGTTAATAGCTCAATGATACAGTACTGTGCAGTTTCTTCGCTAGAGTAGATACGCGACAGTTGAGCTTTCATCAAGCGCTACATTACTTTTCTTCTTGAACTTTTCAGAAGGACAAATCGGTAATCGGACGGCATGTTGTGCTTGTTGCTCCTGTTTCTCATCCCGTGTGGAGCTCAAATCTTCGAAAACAGCAATACTGACGTGGGATCATTCATTCAAGTAATTTCGCACTTCCCTGACCAGGGAAGACATTCAACTTTCCATGGAACTTCTAATTGAGACCCAGATATATCGATAGAGCTTCAAACGCTGATTACAAATGTGGAAACTAAAACTTTCCTTTCATTGGAACTTCCAAAGGTGTCTTACAAAATGAACAAATGAACTACAAAATGAACCTGCCAAGGAAGTTGTGAGCAGTCAAAGTTGGCTGGAAGTAAAGCGCTGCATATGAACCGTGCTGATCCAGGCTTTCAGAGTCGCCGCGGAGTAGTGGTAGTGCCCTCGCTCTTCACCCTGGAGGTCATAAGTTCTCTCCCGTTGGAGTGCAAATTCCGAGAGCACTACCACTACTCCACGGCGACTTTGAAAGCCCGGAGGCTAGCACGGTCATACGTAATGCTTTACTTCCAGCCAACTTTGACTGCTCACAACTTCCTTGGCAGGTTCATTTTGCAGTTTTAGTTTCCATATTTGTAATCAGCGTTTGAAGCTCTATCGATATATCTGGGTCTCAATTCAAAGTTCCATGGGAAGTTGAATGCCTTTCCTGGTGAGCTGATGTATTACGTAAACCTTATCCAAGAAGTAAGTGGATTTCATACCGTTAGTAATTAATTAATTTCAGCCAGCAGCACCTCGCCAGCGAGCACCTTTGGATCTGGAGCGACAGGTAACTTAGTGAACTTATCGTTAGTCCCATTGTGTTGAGACAAAAGTAGGCGTCACTCAATTTCCTGCTCTCGTCTGCTCCTTACTGCCTGCTCAGCCACAAATTGAGCGCAACACCTGCATACGCCACGCACTCCGCTTCTGGCAATGCACTGATTTCAACTATTACTTCTACTAAACAAGTTTTCTGAATGGTCACTCAAAGTTTTGCTGCATTCACTACACACATTTGAAAGGCTAGAAAATGTCACTGAACAATAACGAATAGATCTCGGCGCTGCTCACCCTATACGTGTCCGAACTAACCCAGATTTATTTGTCAATGACGTAGATTTATGTAGAAAGTCGGCTCCAGGAGTGATTCGACCCGACCCGTAGGACATGAATATCGCATTCGTCCAGTGCGAAAGGGCCCGGCGTCTGTGCGCCACAGGTGCCGGCGCTAAAAGGCGTCAGAACCCCTTGGGTCACTAAATTCGCTAGAACTTCGAGGTTAGGGGTAGGTAAATCGACCAGCAGAACGTGAATATTATTTTGATTTAGTGTGATGAGTCTATAGCTTGCGTCATGGGCGCCGGCGCAAACCTAGCGTGAGAGCGCCGCGAAACGCCTGGCGCCTGTGGCGCAGCGCCAAGCGTTTCGCGCTAAACCGATGTGATATTCGTGTTCTACGGGTCGAATTACCCCCGGAAACAAGTTTCTAGCCAAATTCACAGTCATGGACGAATTTCGATCAAAATCCGGCTCAGTTCTTGAGGAGTGGGGCAGTAAAGGGTAAATAGTGCCTACATCTCTTACAAACCCCCGTTTAGCTGAGAGTGGGGTTTAGCACTAGTGCTCCGATATACTCCGCGCGTAGAGTACCCTAAGGAAAAGTTATGAATACCATCGAGAAAATAGCTGCTTATTCTAGTTCTTAGATCCGAAAGAAAAAAAGATAAAAGGATAAAGCATTTGCCGTTGATCAATCCCTTTTTGGGATGCGGCACGCATTCTACTTCCATTTGTACATTCGTAGTGGCGTTTGAATGCGATGTGGCCTATACAATGACTTGCGGGGGCCAGCCGATGTACAAGTCAGTGTTTTTATCCTCCCAGACAAGTCTGGTACCAATTAACCGACCCCGGAGGGATGGAAGGCTTGGCCCGGGCGACTCACGACCCAGGATTTGATCCCCGGACCGCTCGCGTGGTAAGCGTGCCACTTGCCACTACACCACTTCCGCCCAGATACTGAGACACATAAGTTATAAATAATTTAAGTCAAGATAAGTTAGTTTGTAGTTGTATAGATGTCCATGACTGACACGGTACCCATATTAACACATAGTTAATATTCAGAGCATTCCACGGAATCGTGCGCCTCCGAAACAATCAATCTCGCCGCGAATACCCGACATAGTGGTAAGTGGTATATCAGGTCATTAAAGTCAATTAAAAGTGAGCGTACTTGGCCAGGCAAAGCCCACTGTGGAACGAACGAGGGGCAAGCTAACCTGTGCTACTAGCATCTCAGTCTGCAAAGGCAGAGTAAGCACGCCACCAGCGCGTCCAGCGCGCTGTGGAGACGAGGGTGCCAAGAGTACGCCGTGAATGCGGTGCTGAGGGAAGTTGAAGGTTCGAACACCCCTCAACTGAGAAGATTAGAGACGCTGTCTTTGCCAAATAATGGAAGATGAGGTGAGCCGAACACGTCCTGCGATTGTGCGATGTACCAGTATGTACTTGGACTAGCGCTGTTCCAAACTTTATCCCGTCGGATATCAAGCGAGGGTGACCTCTGGCACGGTGGTCGAATTTCCTTGTAAAGGAGTAGAATGTTTCGGCCCTAGGGAAAGAGGCATGCTTTGAACTGGAACGTTGGTGGTGTTTGTTCAGTTCAGTAACTCCGAGCAAGGGCGCGACGTGGTGATGCTTATTGTATTTAAATGTGATTATTATAAGATAAAGTGAAACGAGTGACGAGTGAAATGAATGGCAGAATGTGACAAAGGGTGAAGCAAGGGGGAAGCGTGTCACAAGTAGTTCATACTGTGCTGCCAAAAAAACACTGAATAAGTAAAAAAAAGAAACATTGGGCCATGATGTGTAGATGAACTGTAGTAGCTCTATTGCCCAAACATTTCTTCGGTCATTCTTGCTACCGCTAAAATTGGGCAGGAAGAAGAAAATGTGCAGCACGTGGACGTCCACATGCTAGGCATAATACTCGGTTCATTTCTTAGTAGCCGTACTCTACTTACCCTTTCTCAGAAGCCAGAAGTGTCGGGTGCAGACCACACACCAGTGCGGCGGCTCCGATGCAAATTCTCGTTGCCAATGAAATGATTAACCTGTTACAGTTGTATTCGATCAGTTGACACTAATTACAACTATCATTTACTAAAAATCAGCTATCACTATGAACCACTACTAACCAGATTTACTTGGAGGCCGTCGTCAGTTGTGGTGTTTGGTCTGCACCCGACACTTTCTGGCTTTTTGAAGGGGAGGGTTACTTATAAGTTTTGAAAGCCTATACTGACCAGTTTGCAGCAGGAATTATGCCATAAATCCATTACGAAATTGTGGGGCCACACTGCCACCATCGCCTACTAGGGCTGGGTGATTCCGGTGGCACCAGTGCAGGGCGTGGGTATCACTGGTGCTTCAAGAACTGATCAACAAACGAGCCTATAGAACAAATATAAACGTTAGGATTGTCGGAAGAGCCATCTTGTCCTTGCCGTTTATAGAGATGGTGTGTAAATAGATTAAACAACACCTTGCAGTGTCCGATTTGATCGGTTTATTATGGGATGGAGTTGACGGACATAACCAAAACAATAAAACGGATCCCGTTAGAAGATCCTCAACCAGTTACAGTTCTCATAATTTGTTCCGTGTTGCTTGTTTGATGCTATCTGGAAACCGGGGTAGACCCCTATTAAGACGTCAGAAAACTGTCCGGGCCGATTCATTCTAGTGATCGCCATCTTACGACCACGCTGAATACGTCCGCACATTTTATTACCACTGAAAATCCCATCTTATTTCAGCCTCTTTTTCTGACCTGTTATTTACTGCTTTAAAGTTATTCTTGAACGTGTGTGGCATAGCATCTAAAGCAAAATGTCATAAAATACTTTTCATGGGAGGTTATTACTTGTTAGTCTAATGCTTGTGATACATTCCAGGTTTATTTCAATCTAATATTACCCTAAGCCACAAAACGCTTCTGCATCGCAGTCATATGTAAAACCTTTACGTTGAAATTTCTTGCGCAAAACTTCTATTACTAAACACACAGAGTGAACAGCATACATCGGAGATGCCCTACACAGCTCTTTAATCTCTTCTGAATCGGACATTGCTGAATTTTCAAGAGATGAACTTCGAGAGTAAACCTCAATGGAAGTGATACTCAGGCGATGCGAGAATATTTGGACCACTCGAGCCCTGCTGGCACACACCGTTTGACAACCGCCTCCAGCCACATTCGAGGTCAACGTTTAACTAGTGGGGCGTGTTGAAGTTTTCCGGAGAGTGATATAGGGTGGAGTCGAAGGGGGTTAGAAAGCGGAGGGTCAACAACATAATGTGTGGGAGCAGCGGGCGGTCTGGGGATGGGAAGGCGGTCATATTCCCTAAGGTTGGTGGGGAGGGTGAAGGAGCGTATCAAGACTTCTTCTAAGGAGGAGGTCGCAAAATTCTTGGAATTGAAATAACGGACGGTTGACATGGTTACAGGCATCTCAGTTTTGTCCCATGAAGACGCGTAAATATCGTGAAAGCTGCGTCTTCTACTTGTGATGTTTGTTCAGCTTTGAGCGGTGCAACTGTACACAGCTGTGAAGTCATGTTAACGACGGTATTTACGCCAATTTACGTGACTAAGGGCGATGTTGTAGTTTGCGAATCGAGCGATTCGCTGGATCCGAGCGTTGCCCCAGCGGATCGAGCTTTGCGCTAGCGGATCGTGCGATGCACCAGCGAGTCGAACAATGTACCAGCGACATGAAACTGTTTGAAAGTGCGGTATCCAACGTTTGAATGAAGCCCACTCAAAGACCACTCTGTTTGAAAGTGGCGGGCTTCCTCTAAACGTTTGGTCCCGCTACTTTCAAACAGTGTTCGAGTCGCTGGTGCACAGTTCGACTCGCTGCGCATCGGTCGATTCGCTGGCGAATGCTCGCATCGATTCGCAAACTATGACATCGGCCTAACAAAAGTCCAGTTTCGAAAAGACGATCGTGGAAATGACTCCTTTCCAGTTTCTTCCCATGTAACGTCGAGGACTGTAGGGTCCTGAATATTGCCACTGACGCTCACAAAAAACAGCACTTCAACTGTGTACCGTTCTCCGGGCTGTACACAGCATAACTGGACTCATCGTC